AGCCGGCCGTCAACGGCCCGCTGACGACCGGCCGTTCTGTGATTCTCCAGGTCCGCCCTGTATTCCACCGGGTCACCGCAGCACCGCGGTGCAGACGGACCCGCTGGAATACAGGGTCTACCGCGTTTAGGAACCGTTAAGCAGAACCGAAATTGTGTATTTTGTATGGGTACCCGGTACCCGGCATTTTCTTATCGGTTCTCATCTGGAACCGAGTTTCGGTTCCCAACCCTAGTGATGAGGCACTTATTCATACTCAGTGTCACCTACAGAATGACAGTCGGGACACCCACAGTTCAGACCAGAAGTCTGTAGTAGTAGCGCAGATATATAGAAATGTACTGCAGCATTCAAACAAATGTAAGCCACCTAAAAACTTCAATATGACTTTAATTGTGTGCTAGAACGGGTCGGGTCGAGGCTGAACCTCTTACTGTAGTCCTGTGTCTTGGATCCTCTATCCTGAGTTCTGGATTAAGTCGTGGTCTTCGGGTCGTGGCTGAACCTGTCTCTGCGGTCCTGCCTTGGGTCTCGTCATGCTGCTTCCCTGATGGCTTCCTCAGGATTGTAGCTGACATCCTCGTGGATTCATCTTCTTATTACAGACACATGCATTTCCTAACATTCGGTCTATATGCTGTAAAATGTATTATCTCTTTGATTTACACACGGCATCTATTGCACGTCTGTCCGTCCTGGGAGAGGGATCCCTCCTCTGTTGCTCTCCCTGAGGTTTCTCCCATGTTCCCTTTAAACTGTGGGTTTTCTCTGGAAGTGTTTCCTTGTACGATGTGAGGGTCTAAGGACAGAGGGTCTAAGGACAGAGGGTCTAAGGACAGAGGGTCTAAGGACAGAGGGTGTCGTTTTTCTCATACTGATATTCTGAACAATCTGTGCTGTTGTATTTGCTGTAAAGTGTTTCTACTGTAGGCTATTTTTATTTTATGTACAGCACTTTGGCTCCACCAAAAATCGTTTATAAATGTGCTATATAAATAAAACTTGATTTGATTTGATTTGATAGAACATTTGCACCGCTTTAACTTGGTGTCAGACATTACTTTCCGACGAGGAACTAAACCCATTATCTATAGTCTCTTTAAAGTCACCAGACTCCATTGACAACAAGTGTATTTCACTTAGCAGAACACAGCTCTAATGACTCATCTACAGTGACATACGTTTGTTTGTGTTATTGTGTGACTTTGTGTTTTAAATGGCTGGTTCGATTCACAAAGGTTACCCCAGCAGGACAGAGCTCTAATACTGCCATTGGCTCTAAGCATCCCAATCCTCCACTTGTTTGCAGATGAATGTGATATCAATCATGCTGACGGTGCAATACTGGTTCCGGCTGTCACTTTTTATAAAAGATTAAAGACTTCACGTCAATCATCACGTTACAGGATAACATTTTCTATTCTTAACTTTGTTCTTTTAATGCAATTCTTTCTTATAAGATCAGAGATGGGAAGTAACTAAGTACATTTACTCAAGTACTGTACTTAAGCAACACTTTGAAGCTACTTTGTACTTCTACTCTACTACAGTTCAGAAGTACATGGAGTACTTCTACTCCACTACAGTTCAGAGGTACATGGAGTACTTCTACTCCACTACAGTTCAGAGGTACATGGAGTACTTCTACTCCACTACAGTTCAGAGGTACATGGAGTACTTCTACTCCACTACAGTTCAGAGGTACATGGAGTACTTCTACTCCACTACAGTTCAGAGGTACATGGAGTACTTCTACACCACTACAGTTCAGAGGTACATGGAGTACTTCTACTCCACTACATTCAGAGGTACTTGGAGTACTTCTACTCCACTACATTCAGAGGTACATGGTGTACTTCTACTCCACTACATTCAGAGGTACATGGAGTACTTCTACTCCACTACAGTTCAGAGGTACATGGAGTACTTCTACTCCACTACAGTTCAGAGGTACATGGAGTACTTCTACTCCACTACAGTTCAGAGGTACATGGAGTACTTCTACTCCACTACATTCAGAGGTACATGGTGTACTTCTACTCCACTACAGTTCAGAGGTACATGGAGTACTTCTACTCCACTACAGTTCAGAGGTACATGGTGTACTTCTACTCCACTACAGTTCAGAGGTACATGGAGTACTTCTACTCCACTACAGTTCAGAGGTACATGGTGTACTTCTACTCCACTACAGTTCAGAGGTACATGGTGTACTTCTACCCCACTACAGTTCAGAGGTACATGGAGTACTTCTACTCCACTACATTCAGAGGTACATGGAGTACTTCTACTCCACTACAGTTCAGAGGTACATGGTGTACAGTACTTCTACCCCACTACAGTTCAGAGGTAACTGGTGTACTTCTCCTCTACTACAGTTCAGTGGTACATGGTGTACTTCTACTCCACTACATGTATTTAATACCTTTAGTTACTTCTCAGATCTGGATGAAGGATGTGAAATATAATCAAGTGTTGAATCAGACTTTAGTTCCACCTGGAGTAAATCCACAAGCTACCCTGCAGTATACAAAGTCATTCAAACTAGCTGCACCTTTACCAGCTTTGAGAACACTTTCATGATCAATCATTATAAAACATATCATATATATTATTCTGAAATGGACCAATCTGCACAACGACTACTTTCACTGTCGCTACTTTCACTATATTTTGATGACAATACTTTTCTACTTTCACTTGAGGAACATTTTGAATGCAGGACTTTTACTGTAACAGAGTATTCCTACACTCTGGTACTTCTACTTTTACTTAAGTACAAGATCTGAGTACTTCTACTTTTACTCTTAAGTACAAGATCTGTACTTCTCCACCTCTGCATAAGATGACTTCACATTTCAAGCTTTGACCTGGAGGCGTCAGTTCCCTCTCAAATATACTGAGTCATCCACTGCAAACCAGGAGACAGCTCACTACTGTAGGCATGGCTCATACACTGGATTTGAGGATGAAGGCTACTTCTTAACTGAATGACTTCCAAATGCCTCACTGTGAACTCCTAATAAAATGACAGGGACAGTCACAGCTCTGATGAGCGAGCGGCACAAAGCCCACATTCAGAGTCTTCTCCAGACATGTACTGGGACATGTAGAGCAGTCATTTGGAGTGTTTGAGTAGAGCGAGGTTAGTGGCCCGTGTATAAAGGACTCTGGCTGATGATGTCAGCTTCACTCGATAACATGAAGCTCTGCTCTGTTGCTACGCTGCTGACTTTGATTCAGGAAGAATGTTTATTATTGTAAAAATAACCAGACAACAAAGCAATGCAAAGCTAAATGCTTCTCAATAAACACTGCAAAAACAGTATATTTGTCAAATGTCTAGTCAGAGTATGTCTTGACACTACATAGAGGACATCATAAAGGAAGAAGTAACACTGTTGAGGTATAGGGTGTTGTTTTTAGACAATGCATCTTCCCTTACGCTGTAACAATGTAAATGTCCCCTCTGGGACCAATACAGGTATTCTGATTCTGATTTAGTATCTTTTGATGTCAGACTCTTGAAAACATCTTATTTGAGTTGGATCTCAGATAAAACAAGTTTTTATTTGACATGTCACAAGGTTTTTAAACTGCTATGGTATTTGTAAAAGAGGGGTCACCTTGTTGCTTGATTTTAGAAAACACATATATATATATAATATGTTGAATATAGTTCAAAAGAAGTTTCCCCAGCTGATTACAAGATGTCATTTATCTAAATATCCCATCATATTCCAAGAACATTTCATTTGTTGTATTGGCAGATTGTTTGTAACTTATTACAAGCGAAAACATCTTGTTCTCGTGACTTTTGTAACTTTGTTTCCAGTGCACAGTTCACCTGAATACAGGAGTTACTAAGAGGACATGCCGATACACTGCCCAATGTCCATCCTCATTTCTTCAGGTCCTCAGTGATGTCTTGTCTTGTCAATCGAAATCCACAAAGACATTCATTCACAAGAATATGAAAAAACTGAGTAAGGCAAGAAATATCCAAATCTGAGAGGCTAACAGCAGCATGAGAACATGGTCAGTAGTTGGTGATCATACTCTGTTCGTGGACAATAACAACTCTATTTCCAAATCCATTTATGCATAGTCACAGTTCATTTCACTGCATCATCCAAGCATACTGCAATGTATATCCTCGAGTGTTTTATAGCAGAGGTGGGCGCCACCTCGCCTTAAGAGAAAGAGCACTACATCCACAGCACACAGTCCTCAACTTCACCACATGCACTTCACCACATGCACTTCACCACATGCACTTCACCACATGCACTTCACCACATGCACTTCACCACATGCACTTCACCACATGCACTTCTCCAGCAACAACCAAAAGCAGCAAGTTCCCATATCGGAGAAAATATTGCAAGGTAATGTTTGTCATTGTTGGTGTAGAGGATCAATGTGGATCAAAATGGTTGTTTATTTTCTCTCAGCTCATGAATCGTTTCAGCTCTAAGTAGAACTGCAATGTTTCTGAGCGGCGAGGTTTGATGCATATCACACCCTTTACTATTTTGAACTTCCAATAAAAGCAAAAAGCTAAAGTAAAACGTGTAAGCCTTCATTTCTTAATGCATGGCTACTTATTGTACTGTATTTGTCCTCTTGTTAATACCAGGTTGATACAAGCTTATAATACACGTGCTGTAACCCCTAACCAGCCTTTTGACCGGGATTTGTTCAAAACACTGATGTTATTATGTCCCTGGCTTAAAATGATGCGTTGGTTTTGTTGCTCTCCAAGAAAGCATGCCAGGAAAGGAACTGATGCAATTGTTTTGAACATGGTTTGCATTGAGCATTGGTAAATCATAGGTCCAGTCTATTTGACTGTAGAACAAACAGCATGTAGAACACCACATGTGCAGCTGCTGATATGAATTACAATACACATACGGGAACAACTCCTTGGCTACACCAAAGAGCAACGTGTTAAAGGACAATAGATATGTTCCAGTGAGCGGGGAGTAAAGCCTTACCTTTACCGTAAGCTTTGGCAAACAGCCAGCGGAGATTTGCTTCTATTTTGGCTCTGGCAGAGTCGTAGAGCTCCAGCGGAACGACCTGAGCCTCCATGCTTCCTCGTCCTCCCACATCCTGCGCTGCTGCCCGCCTCCAGCTGCTGTCCCTGCCAGAGCTGCCCTCCACATCCATCCTGCAGCACACACACAACCCTTAGTGTTGACTTGTTCAAAGGTTCAAGAAAAAGGAGTTACATAAGGGTAATAATAAAAGTAATAATTATAATAGTAATGATTAAAAAAAACATTATAATAATAGTAGTAAGATTTAGAATAATTATATTTATAATAACGATAATAATAAAATAATCATAGTAAAATAAGAAAGATAGTAATAAGAATAAAAACAAGAAGAATGTACAAAACAATACAATTATGATCATTAATATAATAATGATTAATAAAGAATAAATAAATAGATTCATTTTATTCAAATGATATACATAAATGGAATGTAAATGTTAATTAGTTTAATAAAATCATATAAACAAATAATAAACACTATTAAATACATTTAAAATAAATGTAAGCTAGTGACTTGCATTTATTTGTATTACACATTTCAGGCACTCAAAAAAGCATTTAATTTGAGTTCAAAACAGAGAATCAGCTTCATGAAAAGGGAATTTCTTTTATAGGATTGTTGTATTGTATTTGTATATTAACAATTTATAATCACGTTTCAAGTTAGTGATAGTGTCAATACTAATGTTATGTGTTGGTGTTATGTTGTCTTTCCAAAAAACTGTTTGTTGGATATATATTTGATATATTTTCGGATGTATTTGTTCTAGTGTTGGCTGTGATGCTGAATGTTAAAGGAACAGGCCATACCCTGCACCAGGTAGTCTACCAAATCACACAATATTTACAAACTGGTGCTATTGTCCCAACATTAAAGAAACATTTCTGAATATAAGACAGAAACATTGTTACCCCCAGTATCAGCCCATCGCATTACATCATCGATATGATATGAAGAACAACAAGCAGGGCCTGCAGCCCCCCGACAGCACCTGCTCTGATCATCATGTTTTTTATGAAATACTACACATAGATCCACCTGATTTACTCTGCTGCTACTGTCTGGGCTGTCAATCAACATGATGTTGTACAATGACCATTACATTCATTCAAGACAAAACACCTTTTATCTGCACAGCTGATGATCAGCTGATGGTGTGTAGGGTTGGAATGGAAGCAAAGCAGCACTATTAGACACACATTACAGCTGCTTTATGCTTATTACCTATACAAAAATAATAAAATATACACAATTGTGACTGATAATGCATTTTCCAGGTAGTCGAAGCTGCAATCTGTGCTGACCAATGAATGACCTGAAGCTAGCACCATTCAGAGCCTGGTATTAGCCGTGTTAGCTTGCTAAACTGCGCACACACTCGGGAAATAAAAGCTGGAACACACAACAGAGACTCACCTTTAATAGTGCATTGGCTCGCTTTGTGTTTGCTGTTAAATCGCCGACATGCTGGCTTGGTTTTAGCTCGGCTAGCGGTGAAACACAGGACTCCTCCCTGCACACACTGTTGGTCGGTAATCCAATAATGAAAAATCTGATTGGCAACCATCCGGAAGTCTGATTTCGAGGGAAATGTTAATGTCCCAAAGCCGGCTGCTTCACATTGAGGCTGTCATGGTTTCAGAGAGCATACGGGTCATTTTGGCTGCCTGTCTCTCTGTCTCTCTGTCTCTATGGGGACCTGCTCTCCTCTGTCCTCTGCAGTGCTCAACCTCACCAGCAGAGGGCACTGCAGGCACAATGTTGTATACCTGTTTTTATTATTTAGCTAGATCATCGGTACCATGTTTACTTTTTATAATTAATACTGTTATTTGTGGCTGCTTCTTCACTGCCTAAGACTGTAACATTATTATTACTGGATGCTAGTTGAATACGTTCATATGTTGAATTACTTTTATAATGCTGCTACTTATTTCTTTACCTTTCATGTGTTCTTAAATATGACTTATATTTGATGATGTTGTGCTTGTCTCTTTCTTGAATCTGTCTGCTTCTCTTATTATCTGCACGGCCCCTTTGCTGTAGAACATGTATACAATAAATAATAATATGCCTGATTAAGTAAACCTGTGTATATGTATGTATGTATATGTTATGTTGTGTTATTAATATTAATGTTGTATACATTTTGTATATGCATATGCAATTCATTCATATTTATTTAACCTAAATAACTTTTTTTTACATTTGTTTTAATTATTTAATATCATTTGTCTATATTGTACTTAAGACTTAGGTAGAGAAGTAGATAACATATTGTTAAAAAACGGTGTTTTAGCACTGGTAGAGCTGTGTTTGATACGGAAATACTTGATTCAAGAAGTACAGAAAGAAATAATTTAGTATATTTTTGGTCAATATTTAGGGGGTTGCTCTGAATAGACATAATACTTAATTTCAGCTGTTAATAAATGTTTGTCATGCTAAATATTTCCCTTAATGGCTTTAATCCATAGATAATAACACAACTCTAGACGGTAATGAAATCTTTAAAGTAACTATGCCAGGTTACATCATAATGTCCAATGTAGATAAATGAGCATGCACGGATATTAATGACTGCTCGTTCATGTGTGGATTGATTCCGATTTTGAATTTATTATTTTTCAAATCAGGCTGAGCTAGCCACTTCTCTTTTCCAAGCATCCAGCACACATTTAGAACGATTACATTTGTAGTATAATATGTTCATAGGGGATAGTACAGCCTGTTACTGGTAAGTGTTTCTACGATGGCAGCCACATTTATCCAAGACTAAAGTACTGAAGTACTCAGATGTTGTACTTGAGTAAAAGTAGAAGTACTCAGATGTTGTACTTGAGTAAAAGTAGAAGTACTCAGATCTTGTACTTGAGTAAAAGTAGAAGTACCAGAGTGTAGGAATACTCTGTTAGAAGTAAAAGTCCTGCATTTAAAATATTACTCAAGTAAACGTAGAAAAGTATAGTAGCGACAGTGAAAGTAGTTATTGTGCAGATTGGTCCATTTCAGAATAATATATGATGTGTTTTATAATGATTGATCATGAAAGTGTTCTCAAAGCTGGTAAAGGTGCAGCTAGTTTGAATGGCTTTGTATTCTGCAGGGTAGCTGGTGGATTTACTCCAGGTGGAACTAAAGTCTGATTCAACACTTGATTAGATTTCACATCATTCATCCACATCTGTGAAGTAACTAAAGGTATTAAATACATGTAGTGGAGTAAAAGTAGACTATTTACCTCTGAATTGTAGCCAAGTAGAAGTAAAAAGTAGCATAACATTGAAATACTAAAGTAAAGCACAATTATCAAAGTGGTGTCACTTCCTGTGGTAGTGTCAGACTGTCGCCACCAGAGGGCGCCAGACTCCAAGGCTCGCTGTATAAAGTGTGTTCAGCTCAGATACCTCTGGGGAGGGGGGGGGGGCTACAGTCAGCTATAGTCAGCTCAGATACCTCTGGGGATGGGGGGGGGGCTACAGTCAGCTATAGTCAGCTCAGATACCTCTGGGGATGGGGGGGGGGGCTACAGTCAGCTATAGTCAGCTCAGATACCTCCGGGGATGGGGGGGGGGCTACAGTCAGCTCAGATACCTCCGGGGAGGAGGAGGGGGGGGGCTACAGTCAGCTCAGATACCTCCGGGGAGGAGGGGGGGGGGGGGGGCTACAGTCAGCCACATAGTGCAGCAAAGAGAGACTAAACAGGAAATGAAGCCATATTTTAAAGCTTAACAGCAACTTTTATTGAATCAAGACCATTTTTACAAACATTTTTAAATCAGGAAATACTTCTTTGCAAACTACAACTTTGCATGAACATTGATTTTGAATTACATCTTTTCTTAAAAACATCTTTCGTATCTCTGAATTAGTTTATAAAACGTGACATCTAGACACCTTAAACCACACAAAGTGCAGGTGGTGTGTTCAAACACACAAACAAAGGTCCCCATTTCTTTCACAAACTATGTTCTTCACTTCGAAGACGTTTTTCTTTTCAAGAAATCTCACAAATATGTTGCTTTTCTTAAGAAAAACTCAATCACACTGGCACTATTTTAAACTGTGGCAAATGTAACATGTTCTACGACAGGTCTGCCATTGAACACTTTACAGGTTAAACATGGTAACCATTATCACTGGTTTGAAATACAATATGAAATAAAGAAACTCTCCTTGCATCATACATTATTACAAATCAAGTACTCAGCACCCGCCAACACCATAACTTCATCAAAAATAGGCTCAGGTTGATTAAGATGCATTTTTAACTCTTTTCGAAAAAGCATCTCTCAACTCATAAGGGATATTGTTCTGTGCTTTAAGGTCTCTGTTACCTTCGTTACTCTGTGAGAGCGAGCAACATCATGAAAGGCCACACTTTAAATATATATTTTATCATCCAACGCGGACTCAGTGATAAGACTTAGTGAAATGTAGTTCAGTAACATAACCTGTGTCATTTCAAAACACAAAGTAGGTTAAAATATAATTAATTAATACTGAACATTTTAAAATAATCTATAGAAAGTTGGGAGAAAAAATCTGTACAAACATAAAGCAATGCAAATCCCCAAAAATAAAACATTTGTGAAGACAAAGATAAAAATAGATCCAGTGAACAAAGCAACACGAGACACAAATAAATAGCCAGTGTACAGGAGTCCTTTTTTCTTATGATATACACTCCTTTTAAAACAGTTTCTAATCTTCCCATACATAACAAATACAAATACAAATAAAAAAGCATAAATATAAAAGCATCTTCTTTATATTTAAAAAAGAAGCACATAAATAAATACAACATTTCTAAAACTGTTCTTATCGTTAGTATAAAAACTGATAATAAAAAAGGTCTTTAGATAGGTTTGTCACTCTTTCTGTATTTCTTTGAATTTTTTCCCACTGTCCATTTTTAAAAGTCTCTACTTAAACTGCTCCGGGATCAGGTTCATCTGCGAATGGATACTCGTGGGTGGGCTCGAGATGCCTTCCGACCAATCAGACATGTTGGAATGTGGGGACGAGCTAGACCATTGGTCGGGGGAGCCGGGGGAAGGGGTGAGGAAGGGGTGATCGGGCACCTGCAGCTGGTGGTTGGGGGTGTGGTCCATGGGGCCAGAGTAGCTGTGTTGGGAGGGGGGGGGTGAGGAACTGAGTGCCGAGGATCTGGGTCTCCTGCGGCATGACGGTGAGGATGGGCATGGAGCGCCCGTCGTTCAGATCCACGCTGGGGAAGCTCTGGTTGAGCCCCCCCGTGGTGGAGCTGGAGTTCTGGTGCTGGAGCTGCCGCGAGTGCTGCTGCTGCTGCATCACCAGGTGGCTGGTCTGCATGTTCTGGTAGCCCATGATCTGAGACAGCGTGGCCGTGCTGACCCCGTGCAGAGCCCCCATCATGTTGTGGGAGATGGGCTGGCTGTAGCCCCCTTGCTGGCCCACACCCGGGTGCATCCTTGAGATCCAGTCACACTGACCTCCCCCTCTGCCCTGACTGTTGGGGCTGGAGACGGGCATGTGGGAGAGACGTGGGGGGTCGAAAGACATGCAGCTCATATCTTTACCCATCATCTGGCCCATGTGATCCCCATTACCTTGGAGGTGATTTAGAGACATGGGAGGCGACTGCTGGAAGGGGGATGTCATGGGAGGAGAAGCTACGTCGGAGAGGTATCCGTGAGGAGACTCGAGAGAATCGACTGGGGAGAGGACACCTGTCGAATCGAGCAGATTCCCCTTTCCATCCAGCGACTTCTTCTTCTTCATCCTGTTATCTTTACCTCCATCTTTTCCTCCTTTCCCGGCACTCAGTTTACGGACCTTCTTTACAGAGAGGTTGGGTTTGAGGTTGCTGAGATAGTCATTGGGGGAGCAGAGGGGGGGGGAGAGGCTGGAGGTGCTCAGGGGCCCGCTGTGGAGCCCGGGGCTCCGGACCACGTTGTACTCGTCCAGCAGGCGCACGATGTCGTGGTGCATGCGCTCCTGGGCGATGTCTCGGGGCAGCTGGTCCAGGTGGTCCGTGATCTCGCGGTTGGCGAAATGTTCCAGGAGAACTTTAGCTGTCTCGAAGCTTCCTTCACGGGCGGCAAGGAAGGTAGGCGTCTCCTCCTGTAATGAGAACAACAAAATAACGGTTAAACGAACAATATTTCATTTTCTGATACTAGGAGTCTCTCAATGAAAACAATTACAAAAGATGGAGTTTGGTGGCGGCATAGAGTTAGGGATCATGGGAGTTTGTGGGATCAGCTTCTTCTAACTAATGGCGCTTTTCCAGTGCAGGACCTAGTATGGCTTAGTACGGTATGGTTAGGCCTTGGTAGCCCAGGCTCACTTTATGCTGCGTTTCCATTACAGTTTAGTAAAAGGGGTAGTAACTATAGTAACGCGGTGTAGGCGGGGCGATCGGCTGTTTAGCGGGCGGTGCAACGCTGCATTAAACTGCCGTGACGTCATCTTCAATGCGAACCACAAAACCAACATCAGCCGTTAGCTGTTAGCACTCAGAGCTCACAGCTCCTCATATCTGTTCAGAAACTAGACAGAAGTTAAACAAGTACAAACCACAGACTGCCTGTGTCATGGAGAATACAGTCGCTGGTTTATTTATGTCTGTAGGCCGTTGTTGTGAGTGTGGACGGTCGGAGCATATACTGCATTAGCTTAGCCTGATCAAGCCGATCTCCATTCAGAAAAAGGTTTTAAAAGGTTTTTCGCCTGCCGTCTGTCTGCAGACTTGTCAAATCATTAATTCATGGTTTTTACTAACCGGTATCAGTATGTTGTTACTTCGGCATCATTTTGAAACGTGTATTACAATTAAATCACGGTCAAATATGTTCATGTTGTTGTAATCCCCTTGCCAGCGATTCTCTCCGACCATTCAGCAGTCGAGAGTGTTTACGTCACTAGTTTAGCATATTCAGCCCGGTTGTTGGCCCGGTAAGAACCTCGTTTTTGGAGGGCCAGAAAAAAGGTGAAAAAGTAGCCCTGGGCCGGAACTACCCCTGGTGGAAAAGCAAAAAAAAGCTTAAAGCGTGCTACGTGCAGCAGTGGGAAAGCGCCATAAGATTACTGTTAGGCAGATTATCTGCAGAGCTATCCTCCTCCAAAACAAATACATCAGGGGGTAAAAACTGAATTAAGCTGTTCATGTGGAAAAAGTGATCAGTTCAGTAAGGCAGATGCTTTCTCAGCTTATTTCTCTGATGAATTAAGATACAGATGTTTTGAGGACCTTCGTCCGGTTCAAATATACAGTGGTTCAAATGTGGCCTAAACCTGAATAAAAGTAAATGTATGATGTTTTCTGGTTTACAAAAACAGCAAAGAAGCACACAATGCCATTGCAAGCGACCAAATGAAATTAGAAATTATTTTTTGTTTAAAATCATTGGAATAATTTGGGATAATGCAGTAAACTCATAAAGAGGTCTGTTTTGATTTTTTTAATTTGAACCTTTTGAAAAAATATATGAACTACTGCGAACGTATGGAGCTTCTGACAGTGCATTGACTTCACACACCTTGTTGTCCTGCATGTCTTTGTTGGCCCCGTTCTTCAGCAGCACCATGGCGGCCTCCACGTTGTTCACCGCCGCAGCCCAGTGCAGAGCAGACTTTCCTGCAGAGAGAGGAGGAAGGTGAGGGATGATTATCAAACAGCTCAGCATACTGGGAGGCCTCTTTTTGAACGGTGGAGAGGATTATATGATGATAGCATTTTAGTTAGCGTACCAGAGTCGTCGGTGGCGTTAGCGTCGGCGTGGCAGTTGATAAGCTCCTCCACCATCCCCTCCACAGCCAATCGCGCGGCGAGGATCAGCGGTGTTGTTCCGTCGTGCATGCGGGCGTCAAGATCAGTGGCGCGGTTTCGGATTAAAATCTGCAAAGACACATGGTGTTTAGTTCAATGCTTTTAAGGTGCTGGAAAGTGTTAAACAAGCACAACCAACAACATGAGAAACTCAGAGATGGAACTCGGTCACAAACCGCTTGCTTGCTTTGTTCTCTGTGTGTTTTAAAGGTCTTCTGTTTTTATGTGTAAGCACTATTTGCATAAACAAATACAGTTTATTATTGTTATTATTATGATTAAAAGCAATCTATTCAATACTATATCTGATAAAGTAACCCTCTTCTGTAGATTCATACGCATGTTTTTTATTTGACTCTTCATGCATTTTTGTCATTATTTTAATGTTTTATTATATTTTAGAATTATAATTATTCATGTTTTATGACCTTCTATTTATTTTGTGTTTTAAAAAGTTTTAAGAAGTGTTGACGAAAAGTTTACTATTTTTTGTTGGTTTTTATGTGAAAGCACTTTTAGTTTATTAGGTTCTTTTTTTTATTGAAATTGGAATATATTCAATACTATATCTGTATATCTGTAAGTGAACTTCTTGCGGGAATTCATATGCATGTATGCAGGTGAAGGAGAGCATAAACAGCCTTAACTAGATACATGTGTTAATGGTAGCATCCAACATGTATTAAAGTCTCAACTGAAAAGACCCAGCAGGTTGATAAGACTCTTCACCTGGAAGACTCCCTGAGCGTCCGCAGCCACAGCGGCGTGCAGCGGGGTGCGTCCCATGTTGTCCTGGACGTTAGCGTCGGCGCTGGACTCCAGAAGGCGTTTGGCAGCATCGGAGCGGGCGTAGCGAGCGGCCAGGTGGAGGGCCGTCTCCCCGGTGCGATCCGTCTGGTTGTGGAGGTTGGCGCCTTGGTAAATAAAGTCGGAGATGATTTCCGCCGAGGGATCCTCTTCCTCTTCGCTGTTGCCCGTCTCCAGCCCTCCACCGCTGCAGGAGGCGATCATAAGGGGGGTGAAACCATCTGCAAACCAGGAAAAGGGATTATAATCAGCTCACAGTCACTTGTTTGTCAGAACCTTTTTTCCAACAACAGCTGTACAAACCTGGTCCTCTGACGTTCACATCCATGCAGTCGTTTTCGATCTCTCCCTGAGGAGGAGTCGGTGCTATGGAGGCAGTGCGCAGGTCAGCTGCATCAAGATGCTGCTGTGTCCACTTCCTGTGATCTGTACGGTCACTCAGGTCCAACATGGCCTGCTCCTCCAACTGAGAGACACAGATCATCACAACATGAGCATCGAAAGCATGTAGAGCAATGTTTGCGAGAGTGATAAAACAAAGTTATTTCAGAGATAAGGAGGTTTTTCCTTACCCTGAAGCGCCTGCATTCTGGATCCTCATCATCCCATTCGTTTTGATTGTCATCCATAAGATTGATGTCAGAGTTTTTCATAGGCCTGTTGAAAAGAGGAGGCAGGTTAGACTAGATGCTTTAAATCAAATACAAAAGGTGAAGACAATGCCGAGCCGCAGGTAGATTTGATCCATTCTCAAAGTGTCCGTACCTCAACCCAACAGAGTCCTCTCCCAGAGGCTCTCTGCGCTTCTTTTTGGTGGGCTCTGAAGCTTTGAATCCTTCAGGGAACCAGAGCTGGCCGTGCTCGCGTCGCCTCTTACGAGACACCAGAACACCGAGGCACACGAAACCCAGAGCGGCCAGGCCCAGGAAGACCACGTACATGGGGTAGAGCTCTGAGCCGGAGGGGGCAGGTCTCACACCTGGAGGGGAAACATCTGATATTACTTCTGCCTTTTTACTGTTGCTGCTAAGACACCTGAATAAATGAAGGCTCATCTTAACTTATCTTAACTTGGTGACCACTTTTAATATAACAGGCAGAGATGGAAGAAGTACTTAGTACCCTTTATTTAAGAAAATATACTAATACAACACTGTTAAAGGTACTCTGTGAAATAAATATATTTAATACAAAAACTTAATTCTAAATAAATTACTTGTGTATAAATGATAATGTATTTCTCAAAATCTCTCAAAAAGTTGTAATATAAAAGCTTGGCTAGTTTAACTTAGTAAAACGTTAAATATTTCTCTTTGAATTGCACTGAAGTGCAGAAAAGAAAAAACTCAACTAAAGTCAAAGTCAATTTTGCATTTAGTACAAAACTTGATTAAATGTACCTAGTTACATTGCCCCACTGATTACACGTTGAAGATATAGATGTTTGTACAAAAAGGCTTTAGAGACTTACTGGTGACAGCCTCGATGTAGGGGACGTTCAGGTTCCCGCTGGTGGCCAGCGCTCCGAGGAACGCCGCTACATCTGTGGCGCTCTGGAAGCATTCACTGGACTGCTGGTAACACTGACGGTTATCAATCTCCAGGTACACAATCGACCTGCAGCGGGGGGAGGACATATTAACACTATAATACAGCTCAGTGAAACAAAAAAATAGAATACAATATGAAAATGTTAAATCAAATCTAAATATCATTAAAAGAATAATATAGATTATTATTATTTGTATTTGAATCTTGCGTCCTCTATAACATTGTGGATTTCTGTGTGGAGGTTTTAAAAAAGCCCAGTGGGTTTTTCTGCCCCTTCCTGTACATCATGTCTTAATTGTTCAAAAAGACAATAAACTGAAACTAATCTGCTAATAAAACCAAAGAAGAAGTAGTATAGTGATTTCTCTGTGGTCCTACCCTTTGATCTGCACAGGGTCCAGCTCTCTGCGTCTGCGGGGGCTGACCATGGCGGACACGCTCTCCTGGACCTGACCCAGGACGGAGGCGGGCCTGGCGGCCCACTCCGGCCATCCGTCTGTGGAGCGCTTCAGCACGTTGTGTTTCACCAGGTCCTGCTCGTTTCCGTAGTACGGGAAGATCATGGGTTCTCCTTTGGCGTCACGGCGGAACACCACGTTGGTGTGGAGCACGCTGCTGATCTCTCTGAGGAACGTTGAGGAGCGGTTCTTCAGCTGCTCGGGGGGGATGTGGACCACCAGGACCAGGTGCCCGTCTGCCAGCTTCTCCGGCATGTTCTCTGCACAGTCCAGCCCGTCCCACTCACACTCAGCGTTGTTGCAGCCCTGGTCACAGTGACCGTCAGCATAGTGGTCCTTACAGTACTGGTCATACAGCGGGCTGCAGAACACAAGGAGCTTTGGTTAGCGTTAAATTAAGGCATGTCTTTCACTTCAAGATTCATTATTTTAATTTTGTATTCTTATTTGTTAGTATTAACAAATACTTTTTGTTTGTTTAAATACGTAATATTTAATTAATTAATTTGGGATATACTGTACTAAATAACAGTAAATGTTATGATGGCAAAAACATGAATGATAACAATACGTTCTTGATATCTCATAAATAAAATAATTATGCTATCAGTCAAACTCATTGATAACTTTTTTTATGTGTTTTGTTCCTTTTTTGGGAAATACAAACAATTAAAACTGCGAGTACAGAGAGGAGGTTTGTACACAATTATTATTATTTATAATTATTATAATACCACTTTTAACACCAATACCGGTATATCACAGCACCCCTACCGACAAATACATGACACATCCCAAACATATTTGCTTGCCAAACATTCCTTTTTCTTCAGTTTCAGACTCACTTGCAGGTCCCCTCCTGCCCCTGGCAGTCGAAGCCGTCGTACAGACACCCCGGGCTGTTGCACTGAGCGTCACACTTCCCATCGTTGAAGTAGCGCCAGCACTGCAGCGCGGCCGAACAGTTCTGCCACGGGTCGTCGAAGTTCAGCGAGCAGTCCCCCCCGTCCCAGCCGCAGGCGTGGTTGTTGCACAGAGAGTTGCAGATGTGGTTCCCGGCCCACTCGTCACACTGAGGAATCTCGCAGCTCACCTCCACCTCCGGCGGGGGGATGATGTCCCGGCCGAAGCCCCCCACGAAGGAGTAGTCCAGGATGTGGCACAGCAGGCCGTTGAAGTTGATCGGGCAGCTGCACTTGAAGAAGGGCGCGTCAGGGGTGGTCTGGCACGTGCCGCCGTTGTAGCAGGGGTTGGAGATGCAGAGGCTGTCGGTGGGGGTCTGGCACTCGGGCCCAGTGAAGGTGGGGGGGCAGAGGCAGCGGGGGCCCAGGTGGCCCGACACACAGGTACCGCCATTTCTGCAATTCAGACCCCCGCAGGAGCGAGAGTCGTACTCACAGGAAGAGCCGGTGAAGCCCTGAGGACAGACGAGAGACAGATGATCATTGAGCTACACAAAACATTTATGTTGTTCTTTATGTTTTACATACTTTTATAAAATCTGTTTTGAATAACTGTGTTGTTTTTTATTTCCTGTCTTCAGCAGCATGTTATATTATGAAAAGTGCTAAATTAATACATATAAAGTTCAGCGTTGGACAACTGTTTTATTGCTTTGCTTGTTTTTTTGATTATCACTTTGTTATGAAAGTGGACAACTTGAGATAAGAACAGGATTGAAAAAGTATGTCTTCAATTATAACAACAGGTGAATGTTTGCAGATGAAACCATGAGGAGTGTTTTATATAACTTTTATTTTACTTCTTAATATCAGTTTTTTGTATGCGCTAATGATTTGACTGTCTTGAACATCACTTAATAAAATCGCAATAAAATCAATACAAGTGTATAATATTATTTCTTGAGATACATTTGTAAAGTGTATTGAGTTGTACTCACAGGAGGACATTTGCAGATGAAGCCGTGAGGTGTGTTACTGGCAACAGCACAAGACCCTCCATTTTTGCAGGGTCTTCCTTTACAGCCGTCAAACACTTTATCACAGCGCTGACCTGGAGAACAGAACATATATGTTTTAACACCTGTACACCATTCCCACACAGGGATCCTGCTGCAGTTCTCTTCATACCTGTGTATCCCGTGCGGCACTCGCAGCGGTAGCTGTTGGTGAGCTGGACGCAGTTGTAGGAGCCCTGGGGGTCGCAGGGGTCCGACAGACACTCGTTGACGTCGCCTTCGCAGCGCTCTCCTACGTATCCCGCTGGACACACACACTGATAGCCTCCGATGCGGTCCACACACTTCCCGTTGTTGAAGCACTTTGGCTCGTTGGTCAGGGGGTCGCTGGAGGGGGTGCAGTCATCCAGATTCATCTCACAGTGCACGCCTACAGGAGAGAGGAAGGTAGAAATTAAATTGTATTTTGGGGACTTTTTGTCAATGTATGCCTGTGGATGTGTGGTGCAGCTGTGTACCTTGTGTTCCTCGGGGGCAGGAGCACTTGTACGTGTTGATCAGGTCGATGCACGTGCCTCCGTTCTGACAGGGCTGCGACTGACACTCATTGATCTCTTTGGAGCAGTTTACACCATGATATCCAGGAAGACACTGAGGGAAATAAGTCGACCATTATAGGAAATGTTTTTCAGGGTTCCTAAACTTTTTCTAGTCAAATTCCAGCATTTAAGCACCTTCCAGCTGGGATGATATCGTGCAAGCATTTAACTCATTATTTCACTTTTTTATCAAATATAATCAGATGTTATAATGCTATAAACAGTGTTTGGAGCATTGCTCGAATATTAGGAGATCCCCTAATGCAGGATCAAAGCAATAAGAATCTATCCAATGGTCTCAATGGTCTGATTATCTCTCATCATATCTAAAGATTATTATTATTATTTATTTAATCCTGGTCTCATTTGAACTCACCTCGCAGCTGTAGCCTCCCAGGTAATCGGTGCATGCCGCTCCGTTCTGGCAGGGGTTGGGGGAGCACTCGTCCACCTGCTCCTGGCAGTAGCTCCCGGTGTACCCGGCCTGGCAGCGGCAGTAGTGAGTGTTTCCAGCATCCAGACACTGGCCTGAGTTCCTGCACAGGTGAGCAACCTCCACCCCTGAAAACAGATAGGAAAGAGTTACAAAATAGACAAATCTCACACGAAACTTGTAGATATAAAAAGCTTTATCATGTAAGGGATCATAACTTTAGGCAGGTCATCTTACCTTGCTGTTTGGCTGCGACCTCACAGGACACACTGGGAATGTCACAGTAGAGACCGGTCCACCCAGTCTGACACTGGCAGGTGTACGAGGCCCCCTGCTGCCAGCATGTTCCTCCGTTTTTACAGGGGGACGAATCACACCAGCGCACCAGATTCTAAGGAGATAATATAGTAGTTAGGTCTCTGAGAGGAAGCCCCTTCCCAGTGGTTCAGTTGCAAAGTTGAACACTCAAAGGCTAAAATGAAGCACCCACACAGATTTTCACCAATTTATTCTCACGTGGTGGCCAAAACGTAATCATCTTTGTTTGACAATGAAAATGGTGAAATTGAGATTAGTCCTTTCTGTCCTGAAGATCTGTGTGGCAGCTTTTTACTTGAGTGTTCAAAGATGATAACAACTAAACAATATTTCCTAAAAGAAAAATGACTGCTAGCTTGAACTGCTCTCTGTCCTAGTTTCTTTTGCTTTTTTTATCCATTTCATCGCATCTTGTTTTTTTCTTTTTGTAGGCATGTTTGTTTGTATGCTTGTATGAAATGTTTTTAAATTGAAAGTCTCTTTGAGTATTAAAAAGCACTACAAAAAGCTATTATTATTATTGTGATTCTCACCTGACAGTTGATTCCTGTGTAGCCATGAGGACAGGTGCACTTGTATGTGCCGTAACTGTCCAGGCAGGACCCCCCGTTGAGGCACGGCTTGGAGTCACACTCGTTGATGTCATACTGGCAGTAGCTGCTGGTGAACCCAGGCAGACACAGGCAGGTGAACGCATTGATGCCGTCCACACAGGTGCCCCCGTTAAAGCAGGAGCTGAAGAGACACAAGGACAACATGTTAAACCCTCATAAGACATGCTGGTTAAATAAGTAGAGAGAATATTTCTAAAGAGTGAGCTACCTGTCGGTGCAGTCGTTGGTGTTGATCTCACAGTTGATGCCGCTGAAGCCCGGCCGGCAGGTGCAGGTGTAGCTGTTCACACAATCAGTGCAGTTTGCCCCATTCCTACAGGGGTTACTCTCACACTCGTTTATGTCCTGCTCACATCGGCCGCCACGAAACCCGGGCAGACAGGTGCAGGTGAAAGAGTTGATACTGTCGCGGCACAGACCTCCGTTACTGCAGGGGTCTGAAACACAGAGAGAGGGGATACAATAAATAACCATTCTCTAGTTTTTAGGTTGAGAAACTTGAGAACTTGCATCTGTTCCTTACTTGGTTTGCAGTCGTCAGTGTCGGTCTCGCACTTCTGGCCGGTGTAACCTGGCTGGCACTTGCACTGGTAGCCCCCCATGGTGTTATGGCACATAGCACCGTTGCGGCACGGGCTCTTCACACATTCGTTGATATCTATCTCACATGTTTGACCTTAATAGGATGGAAAAGATAGTTTTAAAAAAAGTAGCCAAATTGAAGACGTAAAAACCATGGTCCACAGATGAATAGGACAACAAAGTGACTTTGTCCACTTCTTATATACATTTTAAGGTAGAAATGATAGATACCTTGCCATCCTTCGGGGCAGATGCAGGAGAAGCTTTGGTAATCTTCAGACTCTTTACAAACACCCCCGTTTTTACAGGGTCTGGGGCTGCAGGGCGCCAGCAGGGTCTCACAGTTATCACCTGTTAGCAGGGGAATCACATCAGTGATTGCAGGGCGCTGGATATATGGAGCAACTTCTTCATACTTCAATATTTAAAAGTCGTAGAATAAATGAATAAAAGTCCCTGAAAAAGATTACAGGAGTAGTGACATACATTTCTAAATCCCATTTTCTATCCCACTTCCTTATCCATTTCCATGACAACTTAGCCAAACAGGAAGGGCCTTCCTGTTTCCTGCTATTGTGTGATCACAGACAGGAAACAGGACGTGGCGGAAGTGGGAATAGGGCCTGGAGTAGGCACCAGTTATCCGGCTTATATTAGCCGTTGTGGCATGTTATTCTACAACACACACACACACACACACACACACACACACACACAGATACACACACACACACACACACACACACACACACACACACACACACACACACACACACACACAGATACACACACACACACACACACACACACACACACACACACACACACACACACACACACACACACACACACCTTCTGTTATTCCTGCATAGCAGATCTTTCCACACAGGGATGCCAGAAACAGACCTCACTGTTTGTGTGGTGTTTTCTCAAACAACACAATGATAAGCCTTCTGCGTGGAAGCCGGAAGACTGTCTTTACATTTTCAGACCTGTGCAAACAGCTAAGTAAATCAACCTGTTGATAGTGTGAAAGATGAGCAGCCACATGTCGTACCGGTGTAGGGCAGCAGACAGTTGCACTTATATCCGGCCACGTCGTCGATGCAGGAGCCCTGGTTCAGGCAGGGGTTGGAGGCACACTCGTTGATGTTAGTCTGGCAGTTAGGTCCTACAGATTAGAGAACACACTGTTAGATGTAGGCTCACAGGAGACACACTCAATGAAGGAATGGTGAAATTATGAGTTGTCACTGACCAGTGAAGCCCGCCCTGCAGGTGCAGTGGTACCCGCTGGTCATGTCCTTGCAGGTCCCCCCGTTCATGCACGGGTTAGACTCACACTCGTTGTTGTTGATGTCACAGTTGGGCCCGCTCCAGCCAGAGTCACAGGTACATTTGTAGCTGTAATGCCAAGGATATATCAGGTCAATCATGTTTCTTTTTTAGGATGTTTTGTGTCACTTTAAGCTGCTTATACATCTTTTAAGGAACAGTTTACCACTAAATCCAAAGAGATACTTCTCCTCTTGCCTGTAGTGATATTATCCATCTCGAGTATTAGAGATAACGGTCATGGAGAAGGATAACTAGAGAATGCTGTATGCATTGCTGAAACCTGACGCTATAATTTAATGCTAGCTTAGATGTGTAATATTAAATGTTACTTATAAGACGCTGTACCCAAACTGCTATAGTACATTGTTGATGAATTATGGTTAATATTTCTAGAATGATGAAAGTTATGAACGTCCGGGGTAATAGCACTCGTGTCCTAATTGAGATGTGTTCGGTGCTCACCCGTTGACGAGGTCCTGGCAGTGTCCATGGATGCAGGGGTTGCTGCCACACTCGTCCACCTGGGACAGGCAGGTGGGGTCGTTGTAGCCCTCCGGACACAGGCAGGTGAAGCTGTTGGTGCCGTCCACACACGTGCCCCCGTTGTGACACGGGTTAATGGCACACTCATCGATGTTGATGTTGCACATTGATCCTGAAAGACAAAGAGAAACGATTTTGAGAAATGGGAAATATCTACTGTGATCATTATGGAGTTTGCACAGCTTTAAGTAAACTTCTGCCGTTTGCTGTGGTATTCTGTGAGCCTTTATCAGAGCCAAAATGAACTTTATTGCCAGGTGCGTTTACACACACCAGGGATCTGCTTTGGTGTCTGGTGTTGCAAACATAAACAATAAGAAAATAAGTTGCAATAGTAGGTCAAAAATATAACGATCATAAAAAGAAAATACATTTTTAAGTAACTATTAAGCATTAAAAAAGAATTAAGACAAGTATTTACATCACTGTATATACTTGTAGTATAATGAATATATGACCAAACTGCAGTGTATTATATTTGGAAAAGGAGGTTGTTTTTTTTACTCATGTGGGCTTTTCTTTTTTATCATTGCTTGCCTTTTTTTGACTGCCATGCCACTTTTACTGAAAGACAGAAGATGTCCCCGATGTGGGTCTACTAAAGAATTTCTGTTTTGGAGAAATGTGTGCAGAAATGTGCAAAACATACTTAGAGAGATGAACAGCTGCTAGCTGAGTTTCTTTTGCACAGTAAAGACTTTCTAAGCATTAAACAGGCAGACGCTGGGGCCGCTCCAGTGTGTCTCTATCCTCGCGGCCCCTGGAGGCCCTTTGCCTCGCTCCCATTGATCAAATGGGGCCCTGTTGAATAGGCAGAAGGAGGATTTCAGCTGGATCTGAGGGGGGGGGTGTCCTGCCAGGAGGTGAGGAGGAGGAGGTGGGGGGGGGGCTGTAGCTACTATCCCTATTCACACACATACCACCCCCCATCCAGGGAGAGCTAACCTCACCCAGGGCTGTTTACAGGGGACAGAAGGCCAGAGCCATTTCACAGACGACAGAATAACAATTAAACCCCCCCCCTCTCTGATCCCCTCACCCACCCTGCTCTTCATCAATCAGGAGGGGAGGGCCCAACTGCCTGATCTGCACTCACAATGGTCCTCTGTCCCTCTCCGTCCCGCCATGCCCTCCACACTCACCCAGTCAGCACACAAAGGTGGAGGAGGAGCAGGAGGAGGAGGAGGAGGAGGAGGAGGAGGAGGAGGAGGAGGAGGAGGAGGAGGAGGAGGAGGGGGAGGGTGAACAGAAGCCTGCACACTTGTTCCTGCTCCCCTCATGTTATTTCTCTTCATTCTGTTATTACATGTTTATTCATATTTTATTTTATATTTTTCATTATTTTATCTTTTATCTTTATCATCAAAGGTCCATTTTATTTTAGATTTACTCAAGTACTGTACTTAAGTACAATTTTTAGATACTTGTACTACTTGAGTATTTCAATTTGTTTCCAACTCCAGCTAATCCCTGTTAATCCTTACAGTTCAGATTGCACAGTGGTGTAAAGTAACTAAGTACTTTTATGGTACTTGTACTTTACTTCAGTATTTCAATGTTTTGCAACTTTGTACTTCTTCTCCTCTACAGTTCAGAGGTAAATGGTGTACTTTTCCTCCTCTACATGTATTTAATACCTTTAGTTACTTCACAGATCTGGATGAATGATGTGAAATCTAACCAAGTGTTAAATCAGACTTTAGTTCCACCTGGAGTAAATCCACCAGCTACCCTGCAGTATACAAAGTCATTCAAACTAGCTGCACCTTTACCAGCTCTGAGAACACTTTCATGATCAATCATTATAAAACATATCATATATATTATTCTGACATGGACCAATCTGCACAACGACTACTTTTACTTTCACTATATTTTCATGAGAATACTTTTCTACTTGAGCAACATTTTGATTGCAGGAATGTTACTTGTAACAGAGTATTCCTACTCTCTGGTACTTCTACTTAAGTAGAAGATCTGAGTACTTCTCCCCCTGAGGTGAATTAAGTGTTGCTTCACTCTGAGATAGGAATTGGACTTGCAGTGCTGTTACACACTGCTAAACTTCAGACATGTGATTAAAGGCCAAGCTCTCTTCCTTTTAAAGTATCACCTTACTCCAGGCTCCACGTCAGAACCTTTTCAGATGGCACACAAAGTAAGCGCTTTGTGTGTGTGTGCGTTGCTTTGTGTGTGTATCAGGTATGGGACTGTGTTCCTTTCTCTCCAACCCAGGATATGTGACACCATTGTTTCGCAGCAGTGGACCCGCCAGCCACCTGTCCTACCTGCCCCTCCCAAAGCTCAGGGGCCACCCCCCCCATCTGTACCTCCTTCCAGTGCTCACCTGTGTAGCCCGGCTCGCATGCACACTCGTAGCCGTTGATTTTGTCGATGCAGCGGCCGTAGTCGCAGGGTTTGCTCTTACAGTCGTCCAGGTTCACCTCACAGTGGAAACCTGTAGATTTGAAATTAAGTTAGCAAATTATATTAGGGAAAATCTCATTATATCGCAATAGTCTGTTGAATTAAAAAAGCCCAATTACTTATTTGCATAACTAGCATATATACACTTCCTATTTCGCCTTAACCCCCCCCCCTCTCAACACCTTTTGTAACAAAATAAATAAAACCTTATGGAAAGCTGTGATGTATGCATATTCAAGTAGCAAGCATCATTTACCTACATGTGATTGATTGTGCTAACTCATAACTTAACTTATGAGGCAATATACCTCCCCTGTAGTGAGGGGCCCAGCCCTTTGTATATTTCTCTGTTTCTGTTTGTGGCCCTGTTCTAAAGTCTTGCCTGCGGTTCCTTGGGGACAGGCACAGATATACGTGTTCTCCCGGTCCTGGCAGGTGCCTCCGTTCCTGCAGGGCTGGCTCAGACACTCGTTGATGTTGGTCTCACACAGGCGGCCGGTGTAGCCCGGGCGACAGTAGCAGGTGAAGGAGGCCAGGCCGTCCTTACAGGTGCCGTAGTGGCAGGGGTCCGAGTAACACTCGTTGATGTCCGTCTCACAGTGCTGCCCTGTGTAACCTGCGCAAGAGAGGAAGGAGTGTTTATTTGGAGAGGAATTACAACAAAATGCAAGACATTTCAGAAAAAAGACAGTTTGTTTACCTTCAGCACATTCGCAGGTGTACTTGTTGGGACCATCAGTACATTTAGCTCCGTTCTTGCAGGGGGTGCTGGCACACTCGTCAATGTCCACCTGACAAAGACTCCCTGAAAAACCTGCAAATGTATTGAGGAAAACACAGGATTAAGCTTCAGGTATTTGCTTGAATGTTTGCAATTAAAAGTTATATTGTGTATGTCATGGCTAGAAGCTAATTAGCATCTGAAGTAGGAATGCAGGTCCAAACAAACCATCCATAACACCCCCCTCCTTGGCTCTTACTGTGCAGGGAAATCTTTCTTTCAAACCCAAACACAATGGCCTCCAGCTCACCGGCCATATACCAATCCCTGCCCCCAATTTTGGCGCTAAGCTCTTACACAAACCCGCCAAAAATGCTAATGTTTCTGCAACCTGACCCAATGTGTCCTGTTCACCCGAAACACTTTCACTTACATTATTAGAGGAAATAAATCATTCACATTTGATCTGTGGCGTGCTATACTCATTTACAGCTGAGTTAATACTTTACCATTTAATAGCCACTTATATTGTCTGAACAAAAAGGGGTGAAAAGAGACCTGATGGATCCCAAAACTTATTTGTTTTACTCCATTAACTTCCTCATCTTTCAATTTCCCTCATTATTTCTCACCTTTGGCGCACTCGCAGTGGAAGGAGTTGATCTTGTCCACACACTTGCCGTTGTTGAGACAAGGTTGGCTCCCACACTCATCTGTGTTGACGTGGCAGAACACACCCTCGTATCCTGAATTCACACACATGAGTTATTAGTTATTAGACAAATCCCAGGAGTTGGAAAATTCAATATTATGGAGATCCACGCATTATCTCCCCACATTCCCTTCCGATATAAATCCATGCTGTTACCTGGCATGCAGATGCAGTGGAAGCCTCCGATCTGGTCCAGGCAGGTGGCATCGTTGTGGCAGGGGTTAGACATGCACTCATTGACGTCCATCTCACAGCGAGGGCCCTCATATCCCTGGAGACACTTGCACTGGAACGAGCCTTTGGTGTTGAGGCAGCGCCCGCCATGCTCACAGGGGTTGGCGCCTAACACAAGAGATACAGGTTGTCATGCACATGTGGTAATTTATGCAAATATAACTGGGTATAACAGTATTTTTAAGATAAGATACCATACACTTTATTGATCCTAATTTGGGATTTTTTTTGTCAAGCTCCATGTAAACAAGGCATTGCACTCAATGTGAAGAAGGAGTACAAAATAAACAAACATAAGCATCAAATATAAACACCTCAAAATACAAATAAAAACAGAACTTAAACCATAAGAAGATATACAGTCAGAGGTTGCGCTAGACTTTTTCGCTGCCCGTCATTGTGACGTGCAGGATCGTAAAACTTCCGTCAAAATCCAGAATTACCCGTCGGCCTTTACACAACTCTGACGAGGAAGGGGGGGAAAGCATGCTCGTGAACTGTCAGCGTAAAGCCAAAACAGACATTTCAATGATTTGTACGGCACAGTTAGGTTTGGAAACGGTATAATTTCCTTTTTGGAGGACATGCATAACACGGCATAACACCGGAGCCTCGCTGCGGGGAAACTTTGGCGCTGTTATCATATCCCTCTTAGACGGAAATATTCGGTTAACGCGACCTCTGTATACAGTATACCAGAAGAGTGTAATATATACACTATAAAGGGCCAATTAGAGATAGCAAAATAAATATATTAACATGGAGTTTGCAAAAAATACCATATTCAATTAAATACACTACATTCAGATGGACGCATTATGATTTTTGGATGTACAAATGTGTGATGTGAGTTCTCTGAAAGGGATTTGTTGAGTGATTGCAGAAAGCAGGAATGTTTTAGTTAAGTTTCGTCACTTACCGAGGGAGCACTCGTCGATGTCCAGGTTGCAGGCGGAGCCGGTGTACCCGGGGGGGCATGTGCAGATGGCCTTGCCGTTGACGGGGTTGGTGTCACAGTTGGAGCCTTTCTGACACGGGTTGCTGATGCAGGCGTCATCGAGGTGGCACAGCAAACCTGAAGGCATCACAAGATAAGACTGAATCGAACTGTGTCATTGTATGTTATCACTTTGTTACAGGAATACTTCACACACAAGAGGAGGATAAATCGGACTTTCACCCTGTGTTACCTTAGTAAAGTAATAGATTTCTCTCACATTCCTCTACTGTGAATGAAGGATTTTCAGATTCTTTATTCACCATAGAGGCATTTCTTATAGAATTCAATGAGAGTAGTTCATGTACAAAACATTTTTTGTGGTTGAAATAAAGTGTTGTCCTGCAGGTAGAGTATGTGTGGGAAAGCCAATGTAGACGTACCTGTGCGACCATGAGGACACTCGCAGAAGAAGGAGGCCACACGATCGTGGCAGGTGGCGCCATGGTAACAGGCGGCGCTGGCGCAGTCGTCGATGTTTTCGCTGCAGTCGTCGCCCGTCCAGCCGTTGACGCAGACGCAGTGGTAGCTGCCGTGAGTATCGTGGCACGTCCCTCCATTCTGGCAAGCGTTGGGCATCAACTCACACTCATCCACGTTTTCTGTGCAGTATTGACCTGCAAGAGTTCACAAAAACGAGAGGAACGGTTACAAATGTCTTCTTTACAGGTTTGACCTTGAAGTTGTATTTATTCTTAAAGCAAAACGTCACCTGTGTAATGAGGAGGGCACTGGCAGTTGTAGGTGTTCACACCGTCCACACACATGCCGCCATTCTGGCAGTTGTGGCCCGGACAGTCGTCGATGTTATGCTCACAGTGCGGACCATTGAAGCCTGAAGAGAGAGACAAGAAGAGTGGTGAAAAACTGTGGAGGATTCATAAAAAGATGAGGCAACATTAGTAAAGATAAGGCCTCTTTTTCCTCTCGATATCGCTGTGAACTTAAAGACAGATAACGTTCAGCTCTCTGCAGGCCGTCGTGCAGCTCCGCTCTCTCAATGCATTCCTGCACGGACCCCCGCGAGACACACAGCGTGGGTTCAACTTTAACACACAATATCTCTTGGTCATCTGCATATACAAACAACTCATTCTGTGCACTCAGACAATAATACAAGCTGCATAATTGCCACATCAAATCTTTCTGAGAAATAGAAATGTGGCTGGTTTTCTACCTTGCTAATGTACCTAAAGATCTCAATAAAAGCGATACAAGCATTTTAAAGGGTTATTATACACAAAATGCTGTTCATAATAACACACATAATGGAGAAGATACATTTAGATAAAAGTGTGATTGTTGTAAACATTAAGGATAAATGTCTCATTGTTGGACCTCCCTCTGTTTTATGCATTGTGAACTCTACCTTTTATTTAAAGTAGACCTATCATGCTATATTTGAAACATATATTGTAGGGCCATACCTATACAAAACATGTCTGTGAAGTTTTTTTTTCAAAATACCAAACAGATCACCCATTGTAGCCATGCCTCATACTGCTCATACCCCTCTGTTGAAGCCCTGTTAGAGAAATGCAGATTTTGGGTCTTTAGCTTGAAAAAAATAAATAAGAGGAGGCGGAGCTAATGCCTGATCAGAATTCTACCGGAGATAAAGTTAAATTCGGTTGTGATATTTCGCCATCCTGTTTAAACCACGTCAAGGATTATTTCTGAAACAGTATGGAGCTCAAATGCTTTTTCTCTTGCAGGTTTATCACAAGGTGAGTTCCTTTTTTTATTTCCTGCTTTTTAAACACATGTGCTCTACAGTACAGGTTAGCTCTGAGTGTTAGCGAGGCTTGCTAATGTAAACAAAGACGTCCACAACACGTCAGGTATTGTTTCTGATAGCAACGTTCTGTGGGTCCGCTGCCGATTTGACGTCAGATCGGATGGAATCTATATCCGCTCGTTGTACCCCTGTTTTTAAAAGATTTGGGTACGGAGGAAAAGAGAGAGGGTTTTATTTTCTGACGCTGCGTGAGTTCCCCGACGCACCGGGGACACATATTTATGTATAAAAGACATCACAAAGTGCATTTTGCATGATAGGTCCCCTTTAATTATCTTTCTTAATTTTTACTGATTGTGCTTTATTGTCCAAGTCCTCAACCAATCCATGTTTGAGAAAATGCTTCGTACAAAGTTTTCTTCTGACAGCAGTCACCACAGTAGCTCAAAATGAACCAAAGTTTTACACAACACTGCAGCGGCTTTAAGGTGCCAACACAATGAAGAGACGCCAACCAGACCGGGGCTGCATCTAGCTGGAAAACAAGATAGGGCGTGTTTATCTATACCTTTATGTGTGTACCCCTGGTGTTGTGGGACATTATCAGAAGGAAACGTCTGTACGACTGCATCCTGCCAGGGGAGGCTGGCAGAGAGGGGGGGGGGGGGGGAGAAGCAGGGACCACTCGTCCACTCAATCAGATGTTACTATATCAACAAGCAGTTTTTTTCGGTCGACTGATGTAATAGGAAAAAAAAAAGTATTTGTGCTGTTGCTGCACGAGCCATACAGTATGCAACTCCATATATCAACAAAAAACGATTGTTCTGATTGTTTACTCATGCGCTGCAACCTAAATGTATTTAAACGTTACCCTAAGGAGCTGTTTGTGAGAATGCAAGTGTTCAAATCAAGTGGATCAGGCATATAATGAGGTGCTTTCACACCGGATTACTTTTCCCAGGAATAGTTCAGATAGTTCCTGGGATTTTGCGTTCACACCAAAATAATCTGGAACTAGAATTTAGTTCTCGGGAACCTTTTCAATCCCTGCTAGAGAGGTGGTACTTTCCTGGGGAGGAAATGGTTCCAATTTCTGATTGGCTGGGCTAATTGCAAACCACACCCCGTAAAACTCAGAAAGGTTTTTGTGAAGCCGCCATTTCATTTGCTCGCATTGGCATTATTAGCACTAGCGTTAGCCCAGTGAACCAACGGAGAGAGACTAACTTATGGCAACACAAAATAAAACGTGGGAGCGGTGGAGTGATGAGGAGGTGTCGGCGCTACTGGTGATTTACCCGGGACTTCGGGTGAAGATGTGTGTGTGTAGCCTTCTTACAGTGCAGACGCTTTTCTGCCTGCTCTTGCCTCTGCTTACTTTTTTATGCTGTTTTTCTATTTTTCTTTTCTGAAAACTTCGAGCAGCGGCTCCTGGACATTAACCTATCACTGGGACAGTTATTCTTCGTAAATAGATGGAGGGTTTCAGCCATATTTCAATATTTTTACGACGACCTCAGTCTTGCGTGGCCTAGCAACAGCTAAAGCCTGGAAGGCTACTGCATGCTATTTAGCTTAAGCTAGTTAGCAGCAAAATGCCTCCGTTCTCTACAGATGACTTCCACAAACTTCTACAGAAGATGGCCGTGTTGGAAATGAAAATGCAACGGTTGGAAGTTAACGTGGAAGTGAATGGACTAGGTTGGAATGACACACACATTTACGTAACAATTTCACCAGGAGACTATGCTCCATTTCAAACACTGAGTAAGTGCATTGAACAAATCAATGACTGGATGTGTCAGAACTTTCTCCAATTAAACAAAGATAAAACTGAGGTAATGGTTTATGGAGCCAAGGCAGAACGTATAAAAGTTAGCGCTGAGCTTCAGTCTGCAATGTTCAAAACAACAGATAAAGCCAGAAATCTAGGTGTAGTCATGGACTCTGACCTGAGTTTCAACAGTCACATTAAAACTGTTACTAAATCAGCCTACTATCACCTAAAGAATATATCTAGGATTAAAAGACTAATGTCACAGCAGGATTTGGAAAAACTTGTCCATGCTTTTATCTTCAGTAGACTCGACTACTGCAATGGTGTCTTCACAGGTCTCACTAAAAAATCTATTAGAAAGCTGCAGCTGATTCAGAACGCCGCTGCTCGAGTCCTCACTAACACTAAGAAAGTGGATCACATCACTCCAGTTCTGAAGTCTTTACACTGGCTTCCTGTGTGTCAAAGAATAGATTTCTAAATACTGCTGCTGGTTTATAAAGCACTGAATGGTTTAGGCCCAAAATACATTTCTGACCTCCTGCTAAATTATGAACCATCCAGATCTCTCAGGTCTTCAGGGACTGGTCAGCTTTCTGTCCCCAGAGTCAGAACTAAACATGGTAAAGCAGCGTCCAGTTATTATGCTCCAAATATCTGGAACAAACTCCCAGAAACCTGCAGGTCCGCTGCAACTCTGACTACTTTTAAATCCAGGCTGAAGACTTTTCTTTTTGCCGCTGCTTTTAATTGAACTATTCATATCTTAAACTGCACTGTAACTTTTATCCATGTATTTTTTCTTTTAATGTTTATTTTATTATCTTTTCTTTTTAATGACTGTTTTTAAATGCCATTTTCTTAATGTCTTTTATTTTTTGTAAAGCACTTTGAATTGCCTTGTGTTGAAAAGTGCTATATAAATAAACTTGCCTTGCCTTGCCTTGGCGATTTACTGCCATCCGAAGTCCCAGAGTCCGGGGGGCTCCGGGACTTCCGGTGGCAGTATACGCTGTGAAGTTGTTTGCGGCCTGCCAGTAAACCCAAAGCAGAAGAAGAAGAAGAAGAAGAAGTGACGTCAGCGGCTTCATTTGCGTAATCCTCCTTCAGGGACTTATTCCGGTGTGAACGCCACAAAAATGGCAACAACAAAAAAGGTAAAAACAGCCAAAACTGTGGTTTATGACCAAATTCAAACTGGTTTCCTGCCTCTCGCTCCGAAAGGAGTTTTGAAGTGAGCATCTAGAATGGACAATCTCCTGTTGGTTGCTACATGTTTAAAAGGAAAACTCCAGCAGATGTGTAGCCCTGATTTTTTCTGGATTTGGCCTGGAGTTTATATGAGAAAACAGCTGTTTGTGTGTTACCTGGAAGGCAGCTACAATCGTAGGTGGTCTCTCCCTTCTGCACGCAGGTGCCTCCATTCTGGCAGGGGGAGGGGCTGCAGGGCATGTAGGGGGTCTCACAGTGTTGGCCCCTGTACTCGAGAGGACAGCGGCAACTGTACGAGCCCACCTCGTTGACACACGCCCCGCCGTTGAAACAGGGGGAGGGGCTCTGGGCGCACTCGTTCACGTCTTGCTTGCAGGTTTGACCGTGGAAGGCGGGGGGGCAGGTGCAGATGTAAGTGGAGTCGAAGGCCGAGCACTGGCCCCCGTTTGCACATGGGTTGGACGCACAGGGGTTAGAGAGCAGGCAGGTTTTACCTTTAGAGCAAAACAAGAAGGAGTCATTCATCTTCACATTACTAATGATACACAACTGACAATACGTGCAATCAACCATAGATAGATAGATAGATAGATAGATAGAAAGACAGACAGACAGTTATTTATGGATTATTTTCCACACACCTGACCATCCAGGGGAGCACCTGCAGCGGAACACGGTGAGGGTGATGAGGTCACATGTCCCCCCGTTGCGGCAGGGGGAGCTCATGCAGGCGTGGTTGTTGGGGGTCAGGCACAGTTCATCGGTGAAACCCAGGCGGCACACGCAGCGGAAATCAAACCCGTTGCCATGTAACACGGCGCGACATTCCCCTCCGTTCCTGCAGGGGGAGGGGCTGCAGGGGCTCGGGTACTGGCAGCGGTTACCCACGTAGTCACTGGGACACCTGGGGGGGAGAAAACCAGCATCAGCACCAGAACTCAGTCATTAGTCGGGTGTTTCTCAAAGTGGGGGTTGCAGAGGCATGACAAAATGTTTTTGAAAAACGAAATCATAATTTGTCAAATTATTGATTCGAAAATAATATGATACAGTACAAATACGTCTGGGTCTCAGTGTCTCATTCAAGTTCGGCTCTGTGTGTGTGTGAAACGAGCCATTTTGTGTGCGTGCGCAAGAGAGAGAGAGAGAGAGCGCACCGGTACCGGATATCGTTGTTGTTAGCTTCTGGTGCTAGCGAGCTACGCTAACGGATATAAGGAGCTTTTTCAACAACAAGGTGGAGGGAGAACTCACCTGTCAGACTGAGAGGCTCAGGTGAAGTAAAGGACTCTCTCAGTGGCCGGGTCTCAAACGTTTTGGTCATGATTAATGTAAACAATTATTTCCAAGGCACACGTTTATATGATCATTATAGTTATAAAAAAATAAGAGAATAAATGAAAAACAGGTTTGAAATACTATATGTTTAAAAGGGGAGTGATTTGTAAAATATCCATAAAGAAAAAGTAAATCTGTTTACGGGGCATGCTTCCCGGGGGAGCTTGCCCCCGGACCCCCCTATGTTAGGTCCACGCCCCACTTATAAAAATAGCACTTTACTCCTGCTTACACCTATATGCCATGAGCTGATTATCGAGCCTTCATTGTAACTGTTGCGGGTACACTGTATTTGCGTGGGGAGTGTTGCAGTAGAAAGTTCCACTGTAGCGCCCGGTACATTAATGGGAAACTCTAAATGTTTGAGCAACCTCTATGAAATGTCAAGCTACCCCACAGCACCCCCAAAAGAAATCTCTGGCACTGCCACTGAGCCTGCAACCCCGTTTTGAAGAAATGTGCAGTGCCAAACAGGCTCATTGCAGCCACTAATGATAAGACACACTTTTTTTGCTAAATATCAGCATTTTCTTTCTTTTCATTTTTTTGCAATGATTGCAAAGTATTATAACTTATTGTTCTAGCAAAGGGATTGCACAATTGTATTATGTATTTATTTTTTCTGACCACACAGACTTATGGAGCATTGTTTTATTATCACTGATCTAGCAAAGGAATGCTCACGTTCATATTGATGTATTTTAATAAATGTTAACTTGGCCCATTACGTGACTATTTGTGTTGGGGGGGCCAGACTTTTTATTTTCTCCAAAGGGGGGGGCCTGACAGAAAAAGTTTGAGAACCACTGCATTAGTCCCACAGCGGGACATTAACAGTGAATACATAGCAGGTACAAAAAAAAGCAATAATAAAAAAGAAAAGCAGCACACATAAGTAATAAAACACTTTTTAAGAAATAATAATAGTAGCCAGCAATCTGCAGACATTTTTTGTATCAGCCTTCAATTCATCAGCTTTCCTGCTTTTCTTCTTCTTCTGTGGGCGCTTTAACAGCGATCAATAAAGGTCTACCTTATCTTATCTTTGTTTAATCATATAAAATGCCATTTCCTGGGGTTTTGGGCTGACATTTAACAACATCATTATGGAACTTGAGAAAATTGATTGATATTTGTCACTTTTTTCTGACGTTTTCTAAACCAAATGATTATTGATCTGCAAATTAACCAATACATAAAAATAATAATAATAATAATGTTTAGCTTTTTTGTGCATAAAGGTGAAGCGCCCTCTGTCAAATACAGAATTCAATATCTTTGGGTTTTGGCATTTAAAAGAAGACGTTTTAAGAAATCACATTTTGACTTTCTTGAACAGTTTTAGAGACCCAACGATTAATTTAAAAAAGATCGACACGATAAGCCAACAATATATATTATAATAAATATAATTAAAAAAAATATATAATAATATACATGTCTTTTCTTCCTTTGCTATGTTTATATATATATATATATACACACACACACACCTTTAATGTTTTTGATTTCATTGTGTTTATACTTTATTCCACTTTTCAAATATTGTAATGCCTGAACACACTGCTGATGTAACAAAATAATTGAAGATCTATCTATCTATCTACCTCTATCTACCTCTCTATCTATCTATCTATCTATCTACCTCTCTATCTATCTATCTATCTATCTATCTATCTATCTACCTCTCTATCTATCTATCTATCTATCTACCTCTGTATCTATCTATCTATCTATCTATCTATCTATCTATCTATCTACCTCTCTCTCTATCTCTCTATATCTATCTATCTATCTACCTCTCTCTCTATCTCTCTATCTATCTCTCTATCCATCTATCTTGCAGGTTTATTGCACAACAGTCTGTATTGTGTGTCTTTAGAGAAGGGAGAAGAACTGGTGATTAGAAAACGAGGATCTTTTTTTCTTGTATAACTCTGAGCAATTATCCAAACAAAAGGGGGAATAAGGGGGAGGGGAGGTGGGAAAGTTTCCCGCCCAGAAAAGTCCCAGTGCAGCGGGACAGGGACGGCCTGTTGATCTAGTGTGTCTCTCTGGATTAGACTCCCTCAGAACCCTGAACACACAGTGTTGGAGAACAGACGCTGCTAAACAGTCCACAGCGGTTCCCATCTACCTTTCCCCCCCAGGCTGTCCACACTCATCCTGAATGAGTGCAGAGATCAAGGGGCCGGGCCGGCTCTGGATGTCCTAAATAAAGCTCTGCATTCACATTCTAAGCCCTCACATTCACACTAAGGATGGACTGCTGCTACAGTCACATAACTCACAGAAATCAGGTCGGCCGCACTCTTCTGCAGCGTCTGGGCAGTAATACATTGTCTCCAATAAAACTCAGCTTAAACATTAGAGCTGCATAATTCCACTGAACAACTGTCAGAAAAGCATTCGGCATCTTCAAGTGATTTCATGCAAATCTACAGACAGTTCTTTTCAGCCTGTGATTGATCAGTTCTCCTGCTGTTGTTCTTTTTTTTTAAAATGTTGTACAAAAACGTGAAGTCCTATTTAAGTTAAATATCCTTAGTATTTGGCATAAAAAACGTTTAAAGAAATCAAATGAGTCTTCCTTGGACTATTAAATAGACCAAAGGATTCATTTAGAAATAATCTACAGATAAATCCATAATGAAAAACGACTTCTTAGTTCAAATGCTTGAAGATAACAGGAAGTCCTCTGTGTCATGTGTCATCATTGAACGTCAGCGAAAGAAGTGTTTATGTTTTGAATCGGGGCAAGTGAGTGTGTGTGTGTGTGTGTGTGTGTGTGTGTGTGTGTGTGTGTGTGTGTGTAGTGTGTGTGTGTGTGTGTGTGTGTGTGTGTGTGTGTGTGTGTGTGTGTGTGTGTGTGTGTGTGTGTGTGTGTGTGTGTGTGTGTGTGTGTGTGTGGGAGGGCATCTGTTGGAGTGTCTCCACAGGGAGCAGGTGCGCATGTTAATGAAGGCAGCTGTTGGACAGGACTCCTCCCCCCCCCCTTATCCCTCCTTCCCTCCCCCAGCCCTCCCCTCTGTCCCCTTGTCAGATGGGGGGTGCGAACAAGCCAGCCTCTTCTCCAGGGACATAAAGAACCCATGTGAAGTCAGCTGTTGCAACTTCTGTCTCCTCTCCCCCACGCTTTTTTAGTTCCTACCTTTTCCTCTTCTCAATCCCTTTTTTCTGCACTAATACTGAATATTCTCTCCCTCTTGTGATATATATCAATGGGCAATATATACACTTTTTGCGCAATTCTACTGTGCAACAACCATTTTCATGTGCAGCAAATAATCTGTATAGTATCTCAAAGCTTAATATGTCCACTTCCCTATTCCATACTCATTTTTATTTTAAATGGATGAGTACTCATTTGTCTTTGTTTATTTCTAATGTGTGCATTTTCTCTATATTTAACATGTTAGCTACTCTTTTGTATTGCTTGCCCTTTATCTATGTCACTTTTGCTGTAGCGTTGTAGATTTCCTCGCTGCAGGACTAATAGAGGAATCGGATTCTGATTCTTCATGTCTCTGCTTTTGCTCTGTTTTCTATCCTGAATTTCTGTACAACTCCCAGCTGTTTGCTTTTCACAGCGCTCCCCATATGTCACATGGGACTGCTGAAAAACTCCCTTGTTGACTTTGTGAGGTGAGACCACTCCGAGGGTTTTAACAGTGCCATGAGCTCCACAGGGAGCCCAGACAGTTGCAATTGGCAGAAGATTGTAAAAAACATTTGGGTTTGCTTTGAAGTCTCCTTGCTTCCTGTTCCACTTAACCATAAAAACACACTGAGGAGAATTCACCGTGTTCATATCAACAGTGTTGTAAAGTAACAAAGTAGATTTACTAAAGTACTGTATTTAAGTACAATATTGTGGGACTTGTACTTCACATGAGTATTTCAATTTGTTGTACTTCTACTCCACTACAATTCAGAGGTAACTGGTGTACTTTTACTCCACTGTATTTAATACCTTTAGTTACTTCACAGATGTGGATGAATGATGTGAAATATAATCAAGTGTTAAATCAGCCTTTAGTTCCACCTGGAGTAAATCCACCAGCTACCCTGCAGTATACAAAGTACTTTAAACTAGCTGCACCTTTACCAGCTTTGAGAACACTTTCATGATCAATCATTATAAAACATATCATATATATTATTCTGAAATGGACCAATCTGCACAACGACTACTTTTACTGTCGCTACTTTCACTATATTTTGATGAGAATACTTTTCTACTTTTACTTGAGAAACATTTTGAATGCAGGACTTTTACTGTAACAGAGTATTCCTACACTCTGAGTACTTCTACTTTTCCTCAAGTACAAGATCTGAGCACTTCTACTTTTACTCAAGTACAAGATCTGACTACTTCTACCACCTCTGCATATAAAACCTAGTAATGGAACAGATGTTGTTAATTGTATTGGTGTGTGTGTGCACCCATGTGTGTGTCATCCCACGCTAACTAACTGTAATAGATCCTCTTTGTCCTGAAGTCAGCCCAATCTGAGATAAAGATCCACCCACACGCTGAAAAGCTAAGCAGCAAACACACACACA